GCGGGGCCGAGGCACCTGCGCGCATCCCAAGGGCGCCGCCGCCCGGCTCACCTGTTACCAGCGCCGCGGAAGCGGCAGACGGAGAGTTGCCCGAGAAAGGGGGTTAAAAACCAGAAATTTCTGAAAACTCGAGCTCCGGCGAGAAACCTGGCAGAGCGGATCAACGAGTTGGAGGCTTCTTCCGTCAATTCCGAGAACAGGCCGCATCTGGAAACTTCGGTGGCGTCAGAGTTGTCTTAGGGATTCCTGGTTCGGGGTGGTTTGCCCGGTAGCTTTTGAATCCCTTGCTGACGTGTAGCTGGCGCCCTCTAAATTAAAACGGGCCACTGCAATCGTCAGGGATAGTATTACTAACCTCGTCATTTTTATTGATTCAACATTTACACCACCTGCTGTATTTAGAGTGTCTTATGATTCTTCTGATCTGGAACACCACAAAAGAACTTTCAGGAAAATTCAACTCTAAATAATCTTGGGGAAAGAAGAACAAAAGTTGAAGACAGAAAATGAGAAAGGGTAACTTGAACTGACAGCATTCTTTAATGTGGGAGCTTTGAAATCTGATGTTTAGTTAAAGATTTAGGAAGCTGCTAGTGGAAAGAGCAAGTTTGTTGCTGCTGCACCGTAACCATGGGATTGGTGTACAATATCAATGTTACTAATATCAAGAATAAATTTAAGGGGGAAGAGTATAACTCAGTGGTAGAGCGCATGCTTAGCATGCACAAGGTCCTGGGTTCAATCCCCAGTACCTCCATTAAAATAAATAAACCAAATTATCTCCCCCCATCAAAGAAAGAATCAGTTCAAGATTTATGCTTGAATTGTATTGTCTCATCAGTAAAAATACAAACAAACTTGAATATAAAGCACCTGCATTCCATTAAGGATGCATAACCTGGACTCCCTTCACAAGTGTGGGTCCAGAGGTTGAAATCTAAGGACTCCTTCCCAACATACATCTCCTTTGCCACCATTCTATATTGATTAATGGATATATTAATTTTTTATCCAACAAACAATAATTAGCACATGCCTTGTGTTAGACCTTGTACTAAGCACTAGAAATAGATGATGGAACAGTCCCTGCCACCCAGGCCCCCTGGCCTAACAGTACACAATATGTGTGCATTATCATGGGCTAAGTCCATGTCACAGGTGTCACCAAAACCTAGAGGAAACCTACAACTGAAAGAAACCACACTCAGCCCAGTAAGTAAAATATAGTTTCAATAGATGCCCCCGTTCTTTCATTTGTTTAAGTTGAAATAGAGAATTTTTCCTTTTGCAAGTGTAGCATCTGGCTTAGGTATGGCTGAGAAGCTGACTGGGGCTCCACACTTAGAGCAGAGTCTGCTTAGTGAAAGATGGGTGGTGATTCTTTGGGGAGCTCTGCATTTCTGAGACCAGTGGCTTCTTGAGGGTCAAGTAGAATGGAACAACTACATGGAAGTATAAATAAGGGGCTCCAGGTGCATCTGAAGAAAGGCCTTTCTGTGTACTTCCCTTAACACAGTAGCATCAAAAATTATAAAATAATTAGGAATAGGTTTACCCAAGGAGGTTAAAGATCTGTACACTAAAAATCCCTAAATCCCTAAAAATATTCATTCTCATTAACATATTATTATTAATTAGCCAGCACAACACACTTATTAATTAACATCACAGCTGTAATACTTGTGAGATACCATCTGATACCATCTTAATCAACTGGCAAAAGTTTTCATAAATAAAAAGCAGTAATGGGATAGAAAAGTCAACCTTGTGTTGCCTCCTAATGTACTAAGAAGGCAGCAGTACTTCTTATGCTTAAAATATATGTCATAATGAAACATCAGAAAATGCAAATTGAGGGAAATTCAAGTGACTGGCCTGTATTCTTCAAACCTGTCAAGTCTATTAAAGTGAAAATTGTTCCAGATTGGAGGACGCTAAAGGGACAGCTAAGTGTAAGAGGTGATCTTGAATGGGATCCAAGACCTATCGATGACATTAAGAGTATAATCAGCGAAGTCTCAATGCATTCTGCTGAATTAAATTGGATCAATGTTATTTCTCTGATCTCGAGATTGTCCTGTGTTTATTTAGATTTTTCTTGTTTTTAGAAAACACACACTGAAGTATCAGCAACTTACTATCAGATGGTTCAGAAACGTTAACAACTTGTAAGGTGTAAGGGAACTCTGAACTCTTTTTGCAACTTTTTCTGTAATTTAAAAATGATTTCAAAGTAAAAGGTAAAAAAAAGGTAGATTACCAAAAACAAAAATCTCTTTTCAAAATCATGGGTTTTCTTTAAGAATCACCTCACTGTTAGCTGTACTGAAAATAGGATTTGATCTACTACTTTGTGAATATATAAAACAATGTAATTCAGCTCAACATTTCATTCATTCACTAGAAAATTATTTCTTAAGGGCATGCTGCATATGAGGGTCTTTCCCAAAACTCATCTGAATTATAAAATAAAATACAATTCAGGTAAAATCCTGACTCCTTTTTTTACTTCATTACCAAGTGAGGAGTTGCAGAGAAGACTGCAGTAGAGTTGATTGGGATATAGCTCTCAAATCAGGTGACAAATTGAGCAGAAGAATGAAGGTAAGGTGACGATTTAGTTCCAATAACAGCATTGGGTGGGCGAAGGTAGGAAATATGGTTACTATCCATGTACATGATGCATGTGTTTATGGCAGTGGATTTGGGGAGGCTAATTTAAAGTTTGGTACCACTGGCCTTTCTCCTAGGATGGTGGATTTGTGACACTTGACAGTTGAAGCTGCTTTTCCTCAAACCCCCACATTATCTTTTTCTCACTCTTTAGTGTAGTCCTCTTTTTTGAGAGTTATGAGCTGTTTTCTTTGGCAATAAAAAGAAAAGAAGATTCTGAGTAGGTTTTGCCCCATGTTAAATTCTGAAAGAAAATACATTCCCTGGTTAGATATTTTAGAAAAGGGTCTTTTGCAAAAGGTGGCGATGAAGAGCATCTGATTGATTGCCCAGGTCCAGCTCACAGGTCAACCAGAGGTCACACCCTCTCCATGACCTCCTCCAACCATTTGTGACCTGTGGGATGCATCCCTTCTAGAATGCCCAGCATTTCTGTTACTTCCAATTGCACAGTCTCCTTCTCAGGGGGAGGTCTTTGGCAGGCAAGCTAATTACAACATGAAGTGGATTTTTTTCTCTTTCCAGTACAGTTACACAGTTTAGTACTTGACCTGTGCCTTTGAAAATCATATGTCTGGGAATAGATGTGTTTATGTCATGGGCTAGAATGGTAATGTTCTGAAACTCAGAAGTAATGTTATGTCAGAGTGGAAGGCATATTTACAAAGTCCAAGTGCTTAATAATCAAGATGCAGGGAAATGTATGTGTACAGCCAATGCACATGGGAGAAAATTTACACCAACAATAATAAGTATTCAAAAGCCCACACCAGCCCCAAGAGAACCATAGGATTCTCTTTATACCAGTTGTTTGGACCGAGCTTCTTCATCAGATCACCTCTTAGGCACTATTTCAGGCACCACTATCCAGGATCTTGTGGTCAAAATCATCACAGAATACTCTGTGTGATGTGACTTGAAATGTCTGACAGATCTCCTCAACCAAAAACATCTGTTCCTTACCTCCACCCCGTCCCCTCCTGTTATGTTCTGGGATTCCCAGTTTTCAATAATCAATTAGGCATGTTTGTTCAGGACCATGGTAAAGTCAGAGATGTACTTCAACAAGAAAGATCCTTTACTGAGGTAAAATCTGTCAGTTACAAACAGGTAGCCCCCCCCCCAAATTGAACCCATAACACCCTCTGTAAAATATGGCAAAGCTTTTTTCTTAATAGAACTGTATTTTAATTAATTTAAGATCTTTCGCAAATATTTAAGAACCAGAGCTCAGCTCATAGGGTATTCTCAGCTCTCTGCAGAGTCTTGTGTTTGCCAACTCCTAATTGATGTTCTGAAGAATGCAGAAACAAAATTCGCACCATTTGCCCAAACCAAAGCCTGGGTAGATGAACTGTTTCTCAAGACAACAGAACTGTACCCTATGCTCAAAATAAATTTTCCTGCCGTATCCTTTTGTGCCTTTTCCTATCATCACCCAAGAGCCCAATAGCAACTTTCTCTTTAACCTGTGCAACATTTTTATCACCCCTCCCCAAAACAGTTCCCTCATTCCTCTTTGCATCCAATCACCTCCATCCACCCGCACTGGGCAGCCACTGATCTGTTTTCTGTCCCTATCGTTTCGCCTTTTCTTGAATGTCAGATAACTGAAAACATACAGTATACAGTTGCTTGTCAGGCTTATCACCTCAACTGCTTAGGATGGCTTTGAGAGTTCATTCATTCATTCAACAAGTATTTATTGAGTTCTTTCTAAAATCAAGCACAGTTTAGGTGCTAGGAACATACCCTGTACAAAACAGACAAAACGCCTGTCCTCATAGAGCTTATATTGGAGTCAGGAAGGTTAAAATAGAAAGAAAAGAAAAATCAAATAGTATATTGTCAGATAATAATAATATAAAGAAAAATAAAGCTGGATAATATTATTTTAGAGCAGGGGGTTTCAGAAGGCCTTTATGATAAGGAGATATTTGGGCATAGACTTGAAGAAGGTGGGCAAGCCACGC